GGGTGCCAGCCATAGCCACTTCTGTAAGTGGCTGCAGTGATCGGCCGTGGGGGACGCCCCTCCTCAGTGAGATTGGCTGTGGAGGGACCTCCCCACCGGCTCAGCAAGACTGGCCATGGGGGGGCCCCCCCCGTCACTGACTGATAAGCGGGGGGGGGCCCCATCCCCCCCCCCCCGCCCCCAACTAAGGTGGCACCAGTCACCCATGGAACAGATATTTACCTTTGATTCAGAAAATGCAGTCACATGCCTACAGTGGCTCAGGCCAGAAGCCAGGGAGCACTAGAGCATAACTCTCTGGCTGTGTGTTTGCTTTCTCTTCCTGCTCCCCCCGAGGTCTCTGGGATTTGCAGTCCAGAATCACAGCAGGAGGATTCTGCAGGGTTGCTTATCACTTCCTCTTCCTGCTTCCAGGTGGCTCTGGGGTTTGTAGTCCACAGTTGCAGCCAGCAATAAGTTTGAGCATGGGAAATTATGTTTAATGCCCCCTGGCCCCAGCTGGGGTTTGCCTGGGGACAGTCCCTCCCTCCCCCGATGAACTGGGCTGCATCCCCAGCGGGACTTGCCCTCAACCCCTGCCCCTCCCCTTGTCAGCCAGCCTTCACTGCTCCAGCTAGGGAGCACAGGGGTGGAGCCAGCCCTGCTCTCTGGAGCAGACAGCACAGCCCAGTCCAGGGCTGGAAAGCATGCTGGGGGACTGTTATTTAACTTGAACCAGGAAGGGGTCTGGGACAGAAGTTTCATAAACTGGTTTGACACAAATCAGTTAAGTCTGATACTATATTCAACCAGGTTTATCTTAAACCAGTTTCAGCCATTTTGAGCTTCTATTCTGTTACAGGTTTAAAACAGTTTCTGATCACTTAAACTGGTTTATGTGTAACTTCTGTCCCTAGCCTTTCTGGTCTGAGGCATCTGAAGGGAGAGGAGTCATTCACATGAGGAGTCTGCCTGAAGTCAGCAGGGCTCACTGAGTGGGTGAGGCCTTGCTTCTGGGAATATAACATGGCACAATCTAGCCCCATATCTGACTGAAAGCAGGATCTGCATGAAAGTGAAACCAGTGCCAGGACTTGGGCGTGAGGCCCATAAACAGGGGAAAGCACTTAGACTTCTGGCTGAGACTGTATTTGAGGAAGGTTGTCTACACTTTCCAAGATAAGTGAGGATCTCAGGATCCTTTTGGGTTAATTGCTGCCCTTGGGTTACCAAGTAGCCCATAAGGTGGTTTCCCATCTCTGGTAGCCACTAATTTCTCAAATGCAAACCTAATCTCAATTCTCTAACATACTCTGACAAGGGCCACCTGGGGCTCTTTGAAGACCACAGCTTCTGCAGAATACAGCTGCTTCCTTATTACATTTGGAGTCCTGCACTAAGCACATAATACATATGCTCCAAGTTCTGCACTGGTTCCCTGTTTGCTTCCACAGGTCTCCCAAGCTTGTCCTGGCAGTGCATCAAAACAGAAACCCCAAATCTGAAAATCCCAAATAATTATTGGCTCTGGTCACTGTCAGCTGTGAATTTGGTTTCCCCTCTCTGAGGCTGTCTCTGGAGTTCAGACTGTTTGAATGATCATCATGCTCTGCAAGCCCACCCCTCTCACAAGCAGGTCTCAATGCTCTTTGTATGCTGCCCCCATTAAACAGAAGCACAGCGATCGATATGAATGAATTTTTCAAGCATGACCTCTGTGCCTGGATTCTGGTTTTGGATCCTTAGCTTTTATGGACACTTACGGCAACGTTTCTACATCTGAATGCCTAAAGTCAGGCACTTATGTTAGGCATCCAAATAAACCATCTGATTTTAAGTAGTACTAAGCACCCATCATTGCAAGTAGAAGTCAATGAGAGATGCAGGTGTGTAGCACTTAAGACAGGGGTGGGCAAAATGTGGCCTGGGGGCCAGGTGCTTAGAGGCCATTCTATCCAACCTGCAGGGCCCCTAAAAAATTTAGAAAATCAATATTTATCTGCCCCTGACTGCCTATCATGCGGCCCTCGATAGCTTGCCAAAATTCAGTAAGCTGTCCTCCGCGCAAAATAATTGCCTGCCCCTGACTTAAGAGAATCAGCTTGAGTGTCTAGCTTAATGAGAAAATATTGAGCTACAGGCCTGATTTTCAAAGAACCCAATGGCACTAACTGTGCATATCTGTGGCAAGACCTTGGTATTTGGAATCTGCTGTGCGTGTGTGTGCAAGAGAAAGAGAATGCACACACTATGAGGTCCTGCTGGTGACCTCTTGCCACCACCCCTCTTAAGTAAAGAGCAGCTGCTGTGACTTTTCACTGACTTCCTCCCTTTTTCCTTCCCCAAAACAGACACGTCTCCATCAGAAACAACCAACCTTAATGCCTCCAACAGCATCGGGGTGAGTGCACTGTGTGCCATCTGTGGGGACCGTGCCACAGGGAAGCATTACGGCGCTTCTAGCTGCGATGGCTGCAAAGGCTTCTTCAGGAGAAGCGTCAGGAAGAACCACATGTACTCCTGCAGGTATGGATGGAGGATGCCCTACTGTCAGAGGCTTTACTGGGGCTAATAAGAATATAACTGAAAAGTCCACAGACCTTAGGTTCACTTTCCCCTGCTCTCTCTTTCTACTCCATTTCTCCCTCCAGCAGAAGAGGGCTGGAGACACTACTCTGGTCTTCAAGGGGTCACTTAAGAATAGTTTCAGGTAGCCCTGCCCCAGTCACTGTCAAGCAAGGTGTGTAGGAAGGTGCCTACACCCAGGAGCATACTCAAGATCTCTAGCCTGAGATGCAGGTTTCATGCTAAACCCATTTTCAAAAGCAACTTTGGCACTGGCCCCCAAACCTCCCAAGCATGGAATCTATATCACTGAAACACCTTTGTGCAGCTTGGCCTTGGGAACTTAAGTCTCATTAAAAATCAACGGTTCTTCAGCTCCTAAGAGTTTATGTGAGTTTTGAAAGTGATCTGCTTCATTGCTTTTGTCAGTTCTACCCAAGATCTCATTACAGGGGGATGGATTTAACAACACAGATCTGAAATCTGGGAGACAGAAAGAAAGCTAAGATGGAAGTGGAATTTGCAGTGTAACTTGAAGCCTCCATCTAGATTTTTTTTTAAAAATAGATACCTAATGTTAGGCTCCTAAATCCATATTTAATGTCCTGATTTTCCAATTAGCTAAACACACAGAAGCTCCTCCTGATCTTAGTGAGACTGTTTTGGAAATGAGGCAGCTTATATAGATGCCTAGCCATAGACCTAGACTGCTGTTAGGTACCCATCTTGAAATATCTTGGCCTAGGGTTTTAAAAAAGCTCTATAAAACCAGGCTTTTCAAAAGCTAAAGTAATCTACGTGGTAAGGATACTATCCCCTTGTGGCAGCTCACATGCCCCATGTTTAACCAGACTTGACCAGCCAGCTTAAAATTAAATAGAGAACATGTCAAATTCCGAATAAACTCTGTACGCAAACTGCTATTGACATTGCCATAAAGAAAAGAGACAAGGGAGTGTTTGCCTTTGGGAGTCATGGATGTAGGTATAGCAGTGTGGCAGAAGCTGCAATGATTTTACCCAGTGAAGACTGATGGTGATACTGGAAGGCAGCTCTATAGTTTTGTTCTGTGTTATCTAGAGGTCAGAAAAGGATTAGGAGTCAAGATGCCTAACTGTGGTGTGCAATGTAAGAGCATATGGTGTAGTGCAATGATTCCTTTTCCATAATAACGCTTTCCATAATAATCCACAGGTTAGAACAGGAGTTGTAGGAAGGACAGCTTGGAGTGTGACACCAGTAAGCTTCCAGGAAGCTCCATGTGCTTGAGGATTGCACAATACCTCTAAGCACAAGTACACAACAAGGCTGCAAGCACTGCTCTTATTTAAGGTCAAGGTGTGACAGTCCAAATGGAGTCCATTTATTATTGCTTAGAGTTCTGGGTACAAAATAACAAAGGACCACTCCAGTCACCGGGATCTGGCTCCTATCTAGCTGGTTCTACCTGGGATCCCCATCCCACTTAGCAGCATGGGAGTGACAGTGACAGACTCTGAGCCAGTGATATCTATTTTTGACACTGCTAGGGAGACATGAAAATAATAGGGATTGTGTGTCCAAATCCCTTAGCTGCCCTGTGCCACCCCACATGGAATAATTCCTGTTTAATCTGTTGAGAAACTAACAGATGCAAAGTGACCATGGAAGTGCCAGATTTTAATATTCCCTTCTCAGGCCAGGGCATCTGTGTTTCTGCTCTGTTGTTTTTCTTTGGGTTGTTGCCACTGACATCTCTCTCACCTTTCCAGGTTTAACAGACAGTGTGTTGTAGACAAAGACAAAAGAAACCAGTGTCGATACTGCAGGCTTAAGAAGTGCTTTCGAGCGGGAATGAAGAAGGAAGGTGCGTCGTTACTCAGTTATTTTATGACTTACAGTCAGCTTGGGATGGCTTTGTCACTAGGAAACCTCTCCATTCTTATATCACCCACTGACATCCCATAAAGTCAGTTATGCTACTGGTTTGACTACTACTTTGCCCCACCTCCTGACATGTCACCTGGACCCACAGATACACACACACCCTACATACTACGCTGGTATAAATAGCACAACTTTCCCCATGTAGAGAAGGCCTCCGTAGCTTTTTGTGGCTGCTTCTTTCTGAGGTGAGTCACTATGCCCTTTGCCCTTACAGTGAACCTGCTCTGCTGATCATGCGATGTGAGGGCTCAGTTTGGAGGAGAAGACATTTAGATGTTTCAAAGCTTTGACTGACGATTTTTTTTCCGTAGCAGCGAAGTTACAATATTCTTTATTCCTTCTTCACCAAGGGAACTACTGCAAAGACCTATTTTAGATAAAGGCCACTTGAGTGAATTGCCTATGATACTTTTTATCCTAAGGAAGTGCTGGTGGCTTTTACATTAAAAGCATATGATCAGGTAATTTGTACACAAGCAGAATTGCACTGCAGAAGCTGACTAGAAAGCAGCACAATTTTATTAATTTTGGTCAAAATTTTCTTTGACACCCAGAGGAAGAAACTCAGTATGGGGTAAAATGCACCCCTGTCTAGAGGAGGCCAGCAAAAAGCATAAGCATCCCATTTCACTCTTGAGGGTTGCAGAGGTCTGTCCTATGCATTGGCAATGGTGAAATCTCTCCATACCAGAACAGTGCATTTCCACCTCTGGTAAAGACTATGGTGGAAACTGGTGATATTTCACCACAGATAAAATGTTTGAACAGTCATTAAAATACCCACTGTTATGCACCGCCATCACCTACCATCACCAAGGCCTTGCAAGTCATTCCACAAGCCTCCTTGTACATCTGCTGTCAAGGCCTTTGCAGTGTTTCCCATATCATACAGTAGCCACAGTGAGCCTGGATTCATCTGTTATAGTTCAGATAATGTCTATGCAACAAATCTTTCTCCCACTGAGTCAGTGAGTAGACTGGGGGTGGGTTTGGCCCTGTTGTTCTTGAGTACATACCTTAAGCCCCAAATTTTCCTGATCCCAGGATATGTTCCTCTCGATGCCAAGCCCTTAGGATAAAAAACCTTCCATACATTTGAAAGTAAATGACACACAACATCTCACACCACTGCAGTAGGAAGTCAGCCCTTCTAGAACACCTCTAGCCTCCCTTACCTGATGAACATTTCTTGCCATACAACGGGAACCAGGCATGACTAAAACCTTTAGTTTTTTTTCCTGAAAAACTTGGCTTAAGTTTTCCTGAAGAACAGAGGAATCCTCTCTCTTTCAAACATACTCATCTTGTGTTTAAAGCTCTGCTGGTGTCTGTTAATATTCAATAGAAGTTACATTAGGTCCATGACCAGCTAATACTGAACAAACATTTGGAAAACATCATGGCGTGACTGAACCTGGGGCCCCTGCCACTGATAACGAACAGCGTAACCTTGAGAACTCCTATTTACAGCCGCTGACTGCAGGGCTTTTTTTTTAGCGCTGGCTAGTTATTGCTTTTTATCAAGCTGTATGATATATTCAGAAAATACAAATCCAAGGAGCCACCAGTTTCATGGGGAGATTGTTGCAATTGGCTCTGGAGTAGATCGATACCGTTGTAGAGCAGATTGTTTGGATGACTGTATGTTGCCCACCCTGAGTTGACTACTGCGGGTTATAAACAGCACAAGTACTGCTCAGCAGGCTCTTGCATTCACCATATCAGCATTATTGCTTCAACTGCAGCCTTTGCTGTATTAGGGCACTCAGAAGATCCCAAATGTTGAATCAGGCACCAAATTTAGGCAAGTCAGGCTCCCTATGTTTAATGTCTAAAACCAGATACACCTGCATCCTAGCTTTCTTCCCACACTGCACTCTATAGCAGCAAAACCATGGCATATGAAAGCTGATCATTTATTGTGTAGAGGGAATACCAAATGGGTGTGACTGTATTTGGTGCATATGTCCATTCATGAGTAGTGGTTGAGCCAAAATACTTTCTTGCAGCTGTGCAAAATGAACGTGATCGAATCAGCACCCGGAGGTCCAGTTATGAAGACAGCAGCCTGCCTTCCATCAATGTCCTACTGCAGGCAGAAGTCCTTGCACAACAGGTAATACCTCTTTTCCATCTGACTACAGAGAATGTTTCTGCGGCAAAGTGCTCAGTAGATTCATTGATCCTGTGGTCTTTCCCTTTTTTTTCCTCTTTTGATGACAGATTTGCAAACTAAACACCATGTTTTCAAAAGCATTTTTTACTTGAAATCTTCCCTTGAAGTGCTTGAAATTTCAGCTGCTTTGATCGGACACATAAAGGCAGGACCTTTGTTGAAGTGAACTGGTAGAGCTTCACTGAAGTCAAATGAACTGTGTCAATTTATGATAGATGAGGAGCTGGTCCTCAGGTCACATGTTGTGTTTCCACTTCCTGACTGGACAAGAATAACTCTCAGATTCAGGTTTCTGATGTAAATTCTTCTGGTATAATTATGAATTTAAAGGTTTTGCTTTATGCAAATATTCTTTCCTGGGTTTGTGTAAAATTCCTCTGTTTCCACAAACATCCTGCCAGGAAAGTTATATACAGAAATATTTGCAGAAAGGGACCCAAAAAAAGAGGAAGCAAATTTGTTTAAGAATTTGAATAAATATGCACAGCTTAAAAACTGACATTGTTTGGGGAGAACTGAAACCAAGGCTTCCAAGACAGGCAAACACTTGGGGGGGCTCTATCAGGCTTTCAGCTCAGAGAATTTCCCATCCAGTCTCCTTTCTAACCAAGGCAGCCTGGGCTTAAAGCATTGGCAGTATCTACCCACATGGCCCTACATCCAATGGCATAATATAAGATAGTCCTTCAATTCACCAGTAGTGGAATACAAGGGAAGCCTTTGTTCAAGACCATGCATCATGAAGCCCATCTCAGACCTCACCACCAACTTTCCTCTCTCTGCTCTACCAACAGTGCCAGCCTGTTTCCCCCCTCTCTTTCCTCTGATAGGCATCATGGCATCTCATTCCTTGGTGCTTCTTATCCTTGTAATGTTCTTTCAAAAACTGCATATCAAACCACCTTCCGTACATCATTCAAAGCCCTCCTGGAAGGTGACAACTGTCAAAGCCCTTGCAAAGTAGTAAAGGTGAGAAAAAGAAAAACCTAATGAGATCATTAAAGCCTATCCAAGCTGTAGGTGTTGACCCAGTGAAGTGCTGGGCTTTGCTGACATCAAATGGAGTGGAAGGCACTCAGAAGGCCAGGGCACTCAGAATATTGCAGGCCTGAGTTCCTGTTGTGGCTAGCAATTTGGGGCGTCTCTGTTTTCAGATGCCTCCATGGAGACAGCTGATTTTCAAGGCTTGGGTGCTCAGACAAAAAATGTGACTCCCCAAATCCTGGGTGTGAAAATTTGGGGAATTGATCTATAAAGCTTAAGAATTCTGGCTGAGGCTCTGGAATTGCTGCATTGCTGCATGCCTCAGCCAGCTACATCCTGTTGGGCCTGTGTCATGTGTCTCTCAAGCCAGGGGCAATGGAAGGTCATTAAACTTTGATGGCTCCCATTCCAGGTGGGAGCAAGTTAGGACAGTGGGATGGCTGAGGCCCAGAGAAATCAATCCAACCAAGCTCCTCTGCAGGGAAGGGAGTGGAAGCACTGGAATTTCCCCAGAAACAGAAGAAAGAGAGCAAATGTTAACTCCAGGTCTTCAAAACCCCAACGTCTGAGGGATGGGAAACTCAGAGACACTCGTTAGGATATGGGAAGTTTGGACTGGAGAAAAGAAAAGAGGGTCATTCATTCCCATCTGTGTGGCCTGTTTTAATTATGTGACTGGCTAAGGAACAAAGAAAAATGCTTCACAGGAGAGACTCAAGGAGGGAGACTCCTCAGAGAATCTGACTTGAGGGAACCAAGGCAGGGAAATGTGTGCTTGTGGTTATTATCTTGCCCAGTGGTTATTATCTTGCCTGTACAGTCCTTGCTAAATCAAAGAGGCTTTTGGACTCCTCACTAGGTCTGTGTTTCAGTTTGCTCCAACCATCACATGTCCCTGGACAAGCGAATTGAAAACCCAGAGTGCCTGAGGCTGGAGTGCTGGGGAAATGTGTTCTTCAATTATTGGGTGTCTAGGCATTTAAGTCTCTGGACCATGAGACTTAAATGCCATGAAGTGATAAGAGACATCTTATGAGGAAATGCCACGAAGAGATAAAGGTGCATCTACATGAGACGCTACATCGCTGTAGCAATGTGCTACGGTGACATAGCTCGTCGCTATGGTGACATAGTACTAGCAGGTACTAACCATGATGCTGCCACTACTGCGCAATAGCTCATTGCTAATGCACAGTAGGGTCAAAAATGACCTGTGAGCCGCCTGGACTGCGCAGTACCGATGGGTAAGGCAAGTACTAAATGACTGCACTGTACTGACTGTGCAGTCAGGGGCAGGTGTAGACACGCCCAGAGAGTCTATGTAAAACAAGCCCAGGAAAGAGCCTGTGCAGCAGCCTATTTAGTTCAAGGGACGTTTAAGATCAGACAAGCTCACTATGGTGAGACCCAAACATAGCAGCCTGGGCAGTGTCCAGAGGGGAATCTCTACCAAGGAATGACTGTTGAAAAATCTTGGCCCTTGTCTTTTTATGCAAGGCTCGTAGCACACTTATGGCCTCTATAAAACTAACGATTGTGCTCTTACTACAAAGTGAGACAGCGGGTGCTCTGGTCACCAGGCTTGCGAGGGAGCAGCATTCTAATATTATAAAAGGCTAAGTCTGTCTGATTGTCTGTCTGTCCGTAACACTTTATTCATGCTCTGATTGGCTGTTTGTCAGCCAATCAGGGTGCAAACAAGCATTCGAACAGGAGCTGGCGGCAGTGGAGCACCGCCATGATGGTGGGGACACAGGGGACGGAGGGGAGGGCAAGGCCTGCATATGCCCCGCCCTCCTCCTTGGAGGCGGGAGCAACAGAGCAGACGGAAGGGTGGCAGGGCGAGGCCAGCAACACTTGCAGGTGATGGCGGCCGTGGCAGAGGGGCAGGTGGGGTCGGGATGCTGTGGGGAGTGAGCAAGGGCACGGCTCTGGCCTCGGCCTGCCCCCCCGCTTCCATCATCACTGCAGGACGCAGTGGGGGGGGGGGGGGGGCCCAACGCGGGTTGGGGGAATAGCGGGCATGCCGCGGCAGTAGGGGGGAGGGGAGGAGTGGGCCTGGGCCCCATGCGTGGGGCAGGAGGAGAACCAAGCCTGAGCCAGGGGAGACTCCAGCCTGCCGTGGCAGGGGAACAGCGGGCCTGGGCCAACCTGGGGGCAGAAGGGGAACGGGAGGAGCGGGCTCGGAGCAGACCGGGGGGAGCAGGCAGGGTGGGGGAGGAGTGGACCTGAGCTGGGGGGAGGCTCACTCCTCCCCTGCCCCAGCTGCTGCCCTGTCAGGCTGGGCCGACTGCTCCCCCCCTCCCCAAAGTGGGCCTCCTCCCCGCTGTCAGCTCCGAGCCCACTCCTCCCATTCCCCTGCTGTGGCGGGCCAGCTTCTCTCCACCCTGAAGCCCGGTCCTCCCCCACATCCGGCCTGGGCCCAGTCCTCCCTTCCCCCCACCGCTGCAGTGTGGAGCGGGCCTGGACCCCATGCAGCAGGAAGTAAAGGGGGAGCAGGCCCGGATGGGGGGGCACAGGGCTCCATCCCTGCATGCTCTCCCCCGCACTGTCATTCCTGACAGGCAATTGGCTTGTTTTACTATAAGACTGTGGGTTCTGCAAGAGCATGATATACAAGTGTTGAGTCAGCCACCAGCAGTTGCCAAGAAATCCACTCTGGCAGAGTACATGTAGGCTTGTTAAATGATCCAGCCTACTAATTGGTAATTTCTATGTTCCTGGCTAATTAGACTAAGATACTGCTGAGGAGCCCTGTTCTCTGAGATCTCAGGTCTGTATTTATTTGCTAAGCCTTCCGGCCTCCCTGATTAGGGTAATACACAGGGAGATTTTTACAATCTTATTTATTCAATAACAGCTCCAGATCTGGAGAGGTTCCAGGAAATGAACCTGGGGTGGGGGGGGGGGAATATTTTTAAAAAAAAACAAAAAAAACCCTGTAGGTGGCTTTTGAACTACATTTCCTCAGTGAGGCAATTTTGTGAACAAGGGAGACAGGGCCTGAAGTGAAAGTGCTGGGAAGAACAGGACGGAAATAACCAATGCTGAATGGGGCAAGAGAGGGCAGAAGGAGGGGAGTGATAGGGTTGGTTAATCGCTCACAGAAGCATGAGGATAAACTGGTGATTAGGGGCAGATTTTCAAATTAGCTGGGCGTGCAGCTCTGTATACAAAATATGCATGCATGCCTGCACCTTGGTTATATGGATATGGACTGAGGCTTTGGGCGACAATCCAGTCACTACACACGCAGGCTGGACAGGCCTGCCATTTTGCAAGTGAAATGGCCTGGTTTGCCTTGCCAATCACAATGGTTGCACATGCAAGTTAGGCAACAGACCACTCTCATGGGCACACTGGCGCCCATATAGTCTTACAAAACAGGGCCTAAAATGCTTCTGATTTGCAACTGTGGGGAGCAGACTCCAATGAAGAGACCCCTGACTTATGCCAGCATGAGGAAGAAACAATGAGTCTCTTCAGTATTACACACATCAGTGACAAAAGCCAGGCAGAGGCAGAAGAGTGACAGCCACGGTTACTGGGAACAGAGGTGTGGCAGGGTAGTTCTCCAGTCCCAATTTACTTACACTTATTATTCAAACCAGCACCTAAAACCTTGATCTAGTAAAAGCTCAGTTCTTCAGTAGACTGACACTAAAAAATCAGAGAACAATGTTAAAAAGTGATCCAATACTGTTTTCAATTAAAAAAAACTGACTGAAACATTTGTGACACATTACAAATAGCCTCCTCTCCCCTCACCACCCCCAAAACCTAGTGACTGGGTCAGTTTCAAAGTTGGCAAAATTGAAATAACTTTCAGTTTTATTTTTTCCTTTATTCCATTAATGTTCTTCCCTGTTCTACCACCCATCCTACTCCACCCCATATATCTTCTGTGGCTTTTTTATACAGGAAGGATCATGAAAAGTGAAACATGCAGGCATTAGGGCTAAGTACAGACAGTCAAAAAGCCCAAGGCTGAGTTGATTCAATCTTCACAGGTTAGTCTGAGCTGTGTGGATTGAGCTGATAAGCAAATGAACAGACATTCACTTTAGATTCCAGAAATGTAGCCACATGCCTGCAGTGCCCCAGGCCAGAAGCTGTGGGGTGTTAGAGCATGGCTCCCCGCTCATCTGGAACAGACAGCTTGGGCCAAGGCTAGCTCACCCAACCCTGCAAGGGCTGGGGGGGTTTGCAGGGGAGGTGCAAAGCATCCTGGGATGCTGGGGGACTATGAGTTAACTTGAATCTGGAGGGGATCTGGGACAGAAGTTCAATAAACTGATTAAACCTATAAATCTGATACTACATCCATCCAGATTTATCTTAAATTAGTTTTGGCCATTTTGAAAGTGGTTTATATGCACTGAACTTCTGTTGTGTTACGGGTTTGAACTGGTTTCTGATCACTTATACTGTCCCTAGCCTAGAAGCTTAGTGACATTCAGTACAGTTTCCAGTGCACATTCAATTCCCCACAACATGGAGATCAACAGATGAGTATCTGGGGGCTTCTCTGAAGAAAAGCTCTGAAGCTTTTCAGGTTTAACCAGCACTAATTTTTGCAGGTCTGTAAGCAAACAGAGTTCATATATATAATGAAATCAGTGCTTTTGGCTTTTGGGTGTTGTAGGTGAAAGATGCCCATCTCATCAACATTATATCTCCTGATCCCACCTTTCATGAGCCTTCCTAGGTTCTTGGACTTCCTTAGCTCTGGCCCCTTCAACTCTGAAATATGAAGGTCCTCTGTAAGTCCTCTCTTATCCTTGCAGATATCATCACCAGTTTCTGTGATCAATGGAGATATCCGAGGGAAGAAGATCGCTAACATCGCAGATGTATGTGAATCGATGAAGCAGCAGCTGCTGGTGCTGGTGGAGTGGGCAAAGTACATCCCAGCATTCTGTGAGCTGCCCCTGGATGATCAGGTTGGTGCTGCCTTTTGACCTCTCCTAGATCTTTTTGTCAAGGTCAGTATATAGCCAAAAGGAGAGAATAGCCCAGGTCTTCAGAGAGAGTGCACATTGTTCACTCAGTTATCATGACTGCAGAAGCAGATTGAAGAGCTGCATACATACAATACTAGGGCTGACTATTTCCTGGGACAGTTAATCAGTCTGAGTGCACAAAAGTGATAACAGTGAAATCAAATGAGACACATTAATGCGTACATTTTGCATTGGCATGAGTCAATTATTTATTAATCAGTTAATATTAGTGCAGCATTTCAAACACTTGAAATCTTGTGTGTATACATATATATACACACTTAGGATAATTAGACTTATTATTGCTTAAGTTAAAAAACCTCTCTCAGGATCTCACCCTGTTGGTTTCTTGGTATCTATGTTCATTTTATTGATAGGAAATTAATTATAATACAAAGGGACTTAAGTTCCCAGACCAATAACAATATCTCTGTGTAGGGTTAAAAATTACAAATATACCATATTTGCATTATAAAGAGAATTTTAGAGTGGCATTTGCCTCTGCCCTTACTTACAGAGTACTTTTAATTGCCTCTGTTAGTTCTAAAATCTAAAGCAGCCTCAGTAATGCAAGAAACCATTGCAAACATGGCAAAGCTGTGTGCACACATACCCCATTATATATGTATACTCTCAAACTGTGTGCCCATGAAGTTTGGGTTTTGCAGGGTGCCTGCACTGGGGCCGGGGGGTGGGGGGGGGGATGGTTTCACATTCAATTACTTTTTGTTCACACGTCTAGAAAGGATGATTTAAAGCCAAGATTGGTGTCCAGTCTAGTGATTTCTGGGTCTGGAGGGAGCTTGTATCGTACTGAGAAAATAGGATAGCTACTCAAAAAAAACCCACCCAAGCTGCATCTCACTGGGAAGTCAACATGTTTTATAGCCTTTAGGAATGTGCCCACCTCTTGCAATTTGCATAGAAGCTTTGAACTGCTGACAGTAATACGCAGTTTGCTAAGCTCCTAAGGCAAATACATTTAGAAATTATAGTAAACAAAATGGACTCCCATGGTAGATTAAATTTATGCAGCAAACAGGCTGCACCATAGAGAGGGCTGGATGTACTACTGAATTCACCAAGTCTTTCCTTGTCACTTGGAAAGCCTTGTCACTTGGAAAGCCTACTGCAGGGCCCGCTCTGTGTGCTGTAGAATCTATAGCAGTGTGTCTGTGGGCCCTTATTACAAGCTTGCCAGTGGGAATTCTTTGGAGAGGAAGCAAGCAAGAGCCAGCTTGTCTGTCTACCATATTCACAGCAAGGGGTACTTATTTGCATGATCCCTGGATCATTGCTGACAAGACCCATCATGTTAGTAACTGCTCCCTGGCTCCTCTGTCATGCTCCCTACCCCAGTCGCCCCTTCTGGGGTGGTGTGGGTGCTAAGGCGCATGGTTGACAGCTCAGAGGTTGCAAGTTTGAGGCAACAGCAGCAGTGCATCTCAGATCCCAATAAATCTATGGAGTCTCCTAAATACCTTGTCACAAGGAAAAAAGAAGTCATGCTACTGTGTTGGAGTCCACAAGCTGAAGAGTGTGTGTGTGAGCCTGTGTGCAGACATGCCAGTGAGGCCAGGAGCCTGAATGGGCAAAAATGCTTGTGAGCCAATTACAGAGGATTTTCAAGAGCTGGTGAAACAATTTGCATTGGAACAGTTCCCTATTGGGAAAAGCAATTTTGCGGAAATCAAAATCCATTCTGGGAAGGTGTCCATTTCACTGACACTTTCCACAGCAAGAAAAATCCACAAATACTTTGATTTTTTTATCTTGATCATGTTAAAGTACCTTTATTTTTGTAAGGCAAAGGCATTGTGTTTTGCCATCATCACACTGATTCATTCTGTCCGTGTCAACTTTTGTAGTATATGAAGATGCATTTGTAATATTAATCTTAATTCCCATTGGTATGTATTGGGTATTTTTAAAATACAAAAGCCCAAATGAAAATATTCTTGTGATATTAAAACATGTTTTGCCATTAATGACACACTTGGATATTATACAAATGAAACATATCAAGAATTCTGAAGTGAATAATGTTAAATTTGTGGTGAGCAGGACATTTCAAAATTCTGACATTTGGTTCCAATTAGGGAATAATGTTTTTTTAATTTTGAATTTCCAGCAGACCAGAAATTCCAGTTTCCAAGCAGCACTAGCAGCTACTGGGAGCTGCAGTTTCACACAGCAACCAGGTGCTTTTGCCCTCAGTTGCTCTCTGCTGTAGAACCAAAGGCTGCTCAGTACCATGAGCTCGCACAGCCTTTAACAGGAGCCTCTGTTCCATGTATTTGCACAAGGCCCTTCTACCAGCTCTGCTTTGCAAATCCGTCCCTTAAGTGTCAGCATCTTTCCTAATCAGAGCTTTGTTCTACCCAGCTTGCATCCTCTTGACATTTATGGTAGGGCAAGACTTGTCTTGGATTTGTCTGATGCTGAGAGAGATAGCATGTTGAAAAATGGTGATATGTCCCTCCTCCTTGGGTTCAATCTCTGCAGTCCCTTTTTCTCCATCTGTTTGTTCTGCACATAGTGGTTGGATCATCCCCATCAGGACACACTCTTCCAAATATCTCCGTTAATGTTTAATGGTTGTTTTCTTCAGTGGAGGTTCCTGGCTGCCCATTAAGAAGCAGCCATGTCACATTGTCCAATCTTTAACCTTTGTTTCCACAAAAATCTTTGAAATTTTTAACAGAAGTAGAGCAAAAGATTCAGAACATTCCCCAGAATCACTGAAGGGTGTAAAATGAAATACTTCAATCATTAACGGCAGGGCAGAAAAACATCCCTTTGCCTTCATTGGTCCCAAATGTCCATTGCAACAAGGGGAACAAGAGATAGAAGTCTGATCCCCACCTGGTGTTGGGACTTAGGGCCTGACACAGAAATTATCCTCCTCTTTTGTGAGGAAGCATGGGCAAAGGAAATGGCCCTTTCCCCTTGCATGAATACACTGGGTGCTGCTTCTACATACGTGTTTGGTTCCATTCAGTTCAACGTGATTTTGGTGGTAAGACACCTGAATAAGGGTTGCTGAGTGTAAGAAAGAAAAAGAGCCCTTGAGAAACTCTTAAGAAACAGGGTTGACCTATCCAGGCTGAGTTACTTGCTCTTTGGGCACAGGACCCTGGTGTTCTTGTTTGTCAGCATTTTCCCTTGGAGCCCAGCAACTGGCTGAGAAAGCCCCAGTCTTTCTCCTGTCACCCAAGTCAGTCACAGTTTCTCCTGATCACATTCTAATGAGACATTGTGATAAGTCCTGACCATCATCTTGCCCTTGGAACAGTGGAATGGACAGTGCCTCTGTTTCTGTCTTTGCTTGGTTACACTAGATGCACAGTTGCTCCTCTAGGTTTAAACAAGCATTGTACCTCTCCCATTTTCCACCTGTAAGCGCTGGCTACTGTTTCTGCACTTGGTAAGAGTCTGCTTTACTTTTGCCACTGTCAGTGCATTGAGATTACTGGTTGGCTGCTGCAATGTTCTGGACTGGGATGGGGGACAGTCTGGCTTGTTGCTGTTTTGACATATATAGTTCGTCCCAGTGCTTTGTGTTTTGGAATTTCTGATGCTTTCAGGTCAAATGCCTTTCAGGTTTCATGCTTTGGACACTTGCGCAGAGTTGGAATTGCTGAGATACATTTTAGACCTCCCTCTTTTAAGCCCCAGCACTAGCAGGAGCAAGAATCCAACTCCCACTGCAGATATAACCATGCAGTACAGAAGTGGGCATGCTTTTTTTATTCTCTGCTTATGAATGAAAGTATTTGCTCCATCCATATTCTCCCACTAATACCCAAATGTCCCTGTCCTTCCAGGTGGCATTGCTGCGGGCACATGCAGGAGAACACCTACTCCTGGGAGCTGCCAAGAGGTCGATGGTCTTCAAAGATGTCTTGTTATTAGGTAAATGCTCCTCTCTGCTGTAACACTGATGAGTCCCCCAACGAAGCACATTCACTGACCCATGAGTTTTCTGTTTCTGCTTTAGAAGAGGGAGGGTACTTTATTTTGCCCTGTCACATTTTTGGTGAATGGCCTATTGGATCAGAATTATCTTACACTTCAGAGAGCCCAACACAGTCCAGGTGTTCAGTCAGTTCTTGACAATGTGTGTAAACTGCATACCCATTGGGTCCTAGTGGGGATGCATCTGCCAGTTCTCTCCCTACCACTCCTGCTTAGAGGCACTGGGAATGCAGTGGGAAAGACACTCTGAAAGAATCCCCAATGGCCACTCTCAAATACATCAGGGATGACAGTCTCAGGAGGGCTGGGATGGACATTCCCAGAGTGAACTCACTGCTGTATGTTCCAGTTGGTGTCTGTGCATGGGAGTGAGAGCTCGGACAGACTGGATTGTGGATATACCCTTAGAGTCCAGGGTCTTGGTTCACATTCATATTTGTGATACCACCTTGCAGTGTTAAAAGGCCCACATCATTAACAAACAAATTAAGGCCCCTTGACACTTGCAGAATGGTACAAAAATGCCTTAGGGTCTATCTTCTTGTTTAAACAGAGATACAACTGTAGCATGTTGTACCTTCAGTCTAGGTAGCCAGAATGAGAAGATCAGTGCAGATGTGGGCTTCAGCAATACTAGCAATCAGAGGATATTCCTGGAAAGTTTATTAGAAGTCTAGTCTTCTGATGTCTCAATGCCAGCAGGAAGCATACAAATAAAAGCTAGATGGGAAAATGTTATCAACTTTGACATGCTAGCAGCAGACTCAGGGTTCTTGAGGTCTTAATCGGCCTCTTAATTCCAGAGGCCATAATGATGCATCTCTTCTTACACACATTTAACCCCAGGCTTAGTACTGGTATTTGGATATCAATTTGTGAAGCCATGGTAAACTTTATAAATCTTGATGAATGTAAGGTCTGAGGAGCACGTATCCCTTTTACTGCTAGTTTGCATATGAGCAGAGAAGGCCATTGACATATTTTGTTTTTCTAAAGGAAATGACCATATCATTCCGAGGAATTGCCCAGAGCTGGTGGAGGTGAGCCGCGTGGCCATCCGCATCCTCGATGAACTGGTTCTGCCATTCCAAGAGCTGCAGATCGATGACAATGAATATGCCTGCTTGAAAGCCATCATCTTCTTTGACCCAGGTATGAACAAGCCTTCAAGAATTAGCCATCAGAAATGGCCTGCTCTTTCCAAATCTTGCAACAACCAGGCAAGGGCAGCCAGTTTCTGTCCTCACTCACATAAGCCAGCAGCTCCAAATCTGCTCTACCTGATGCAGGGATATGGAATAATAGAAATATAAGTGCTTTCCTCCCCCAAGCTATGTGAAACATAGATGCTGGGAGAGATAAGCCCTAGAGAAGAACCGTAGGTCTACCATGTCAGGGTGCATGAGTCAGAGGCCAAGCTGAGCCCAGGGACCATTTCCCAAAACTCCTAGAAAACAGCATGCAGCTCCTTGTTTCATGGTTTGTTATAGACGCCAAAGGGCTGAGCGACCCCACTAAGATCAAGAGAATGCGGTATCAGGTGCAGGTCAGCTTGGAGGATTACATCAATGACCGGCAGTACGACTCGCGGGGCCGCTTCGGCGAGCTGCTTCTCCTGCTTCCCACCCTGCAGAGCATCACCTGGCAAATGATAGAGCAGATCCAGTTTGTCAAGCTCTTCGGCATGGCCAAGATCGACAACCTGCTGCAGGAGATGCTGCTGGGGGGTGAGTATCAGCCCTCAGCTTCTACAAGGTAGTTTGCAAATGGTCATTGTCAGTCAGCCTCCAGACTGGCTCCCAGACCTGTGCTCAGATCCACCAGGTCATCTGTCCAGATTCAGAGCCCTGAGCTGGAGTGAGCTGTAATGATCCCCACTTACAGCTTTTTAATATGCCATATGCTTGATAATAATAGGAAAGTGCTCCATTCTTCTGAAACCAAATTGGCTTTTTATTTATGCAGCTGTTTACAGAGCCACCCCTGAACTGTCTTAGCCCTCTGCACCCAGACTGACTTCCTCCTGCCACCTCCGCACTCCTTCTTCCTGCAATCTGTGTTCCATGGAAACAGCTCCACAGCAAAGGTGTTGCTTTCCAGAGGAAACAGTTGCTAGAGGAATAACAAGCTGCCTCCCTGACCTCTGCACATTCAAAGTATTAGACATGCAGGCCAGCTATTTAACTGGTGCCTCTTCTCCTTCTTATGAGATTCATGGGAGCAAGGGAAACCAGCATGGTTGGTTAAGAACATGGTCCAGATTTACTACTAGATGTTGAGAAATAATGCAATGATTTATTGGGACAAATTGGAGCAGACGGTTGTCATGCAGCTGCTCCTGCATGTAATTCTTCCCCTGTGGCCTGGGAGGACATTGAGCATGATAAAATGCAGAGCAGAATGCAGAGCAGCATGGTGTCCATGGAAGACCTGGCCAGGCTGGGAAAATCTGACACTAGGGGGTCTTTCCCCTTTGGAATGGGCAAGTACTTTCCTGCTCTGTCCTGGTGGCAGTCACTGACATGGAAATGGTTTCAGGTTCAACAAATGAAGCACCTCATCCTCATCACCCTTTGCACCCTCACCTGATCCAGGAGAATCTGGGGACGAATGTCATAGTAGCCAACACGATGCCTGCTCACCAGATGCATAATGGGCAGATGTGTGAGTATCCCCAGGAGACCTCACTTGTTTGGAATAAATTGAAATGGGATGATTGGGAACAGTAAAAAAGTATACAGACATTCTAGGGACTTTGTAGACCTAAACGGTTCACCCATTGTGATGGTGTTCTCAGCTTGTGAAGAGACATTAGTCCAAGATAAGCATGCTGTTGATGGGTGTGCTAGATCTTCCTGTGTAGAAATGACAGACAGGCATGTAAAGGATGGATAGGCTTGATTACAATAGGTTGAGTAACTGTTTCAATAAAGACTTCCCCAAGCAGACTGCAACTGTTTTACAACAGCTCTAATTTAATTTGGCAGTTGAGGTTCCAAGTCAGTAATGACTGCAATCAGTAGAAAGACTCCCAAGAACTTGAGTGGTGGTGGCATTGTGCCCCAATAGATTTGACCTTACAGCTTCTGTGAAAAACCAGCAGACTTTCTTTGAATGTCATCTCTACCTTGACCTCCCTCTCCTCTTCTTATCCCCAAATGCCCCCAAAATGTCATATTGCTGGGTTAGGACCATTGGTTTTGACCCACAAAGCATAACACTCAAATGTGCAAATAACATCTAAACTCAACCAACAAGACAGCCCCCCTGGTCCTGAGTTTTTTTATTGTGGATTCCCCCATGAGTCTGACAACATTTACTTGTGGCTGCCAGTGCTAGCCTGCTGTGCAGGCCAAGCCATGGCAAGCACCCAAAGCCTTGAAAAGCCATTTCCCACTGTAAAGCATGTTTCTTGTGTCAATGACAGAGAGACCCAATATAAAACCCCAGACCCAACACCACACTCAAGACTTGGAGGGTATGGAACCTGGTCCACTGGATCTGAATGTTGTGCCTTGAGACGGCAGAGTCCTGCTCCCTTTGTCTTTCTAACACAGTTTTTCTTTTTTCAGCAACACCAGAAACTCCCCAGCCTTCCCCACCTGCAGGCTCAGGGTCTGAACAGTACAAGCTACTCCCTGGGGCAATCGCGACCGTGGCAAAACAGCCGACCTCAATCCCTCAACCCACCATCACGAAACAAGAGGTCATCTAGCATCAAGCAAAAGGAAATCAGTCTGTTTTAGAAAGACTGTGTTGGAGAGAGCCCCCGAATGACTCTGTCACTATGAAAAAAGGAACCATCCATAGATTCCTGGGCACAAGCACACAGACTTGTTTATTGGAACAGCAAAAAGCTGTCTTCATGGGGCTACACAAAGCCTGTGCCAGGAGCCAGCTGAGCGTTACATAACTGCAAGTTAAAGCCTCAGTGAAATTCTTATTGTTAATAAGACGGCCCAGATTCCAACCTCAAGCCTGCTGACGGTTGTCTCAAGATCTGCATTGACTGGCTATGAGGTTGCACCTGGCCATTTCTCTACTGCCTTGGAGTTGTTTCAAAGCAAACCCGACTACATTAAAAATGAGTCTCCAGATAAACCCATTGCGTCTGCATGAAAGGAGATGCCTGCTCTCTTTAAAGCTTCCCAAAATAGTTCCAAGCCGCAGCCAAAGTTAATGGAGCTAAAAATTCCCTGGAAAGCACAGTCCCAGGAGAAGAGGACTGAGCTTTGCATCAGTCACTGCTGAAATAACCAATGCCTTACTGCCTTGTCCACAGCTCTACTGCCTTGGGTCAGGGCTAAGGGGTCATTAGAAGATATTTTCAGGGATGACAAAATCCTGTGGTATAACCTTCTGCCTTAAATGCTGGTAAAATGAACCCCCATGACTAATGATTACACAAAGCCTGGTCCACACAGTGACTGATGTGGGTTGGGACATCATTGGCCCATTAGGAGTCACTACCCGTTTAGATGTTTCATTTCTTGGAGGGATGCTGTGGTTCATTATCCCAGCACTATGATTTCCTTCCCACAATACTGAATGAAGGGGACAAATGTCACCAAGTTTGCCATTATGTTATGCCAGTATTGGTGCTAAATGGACTGGGATGATGGTGGGGACATGGGGGCTCAGCAGATATTAGGGAGTGTCTCAAGGAAGGGGGAGATGAGGGACAGTATTTATTCATCATCCTGAAAGCCTGCACAGACCTCAGTGAGATGACTGGCAAGGAGCAGTGCCAATCCCTGGCATTGCTAGGCCTCTATTGCTACTTACATGGTTAGCTTAAAACAGAAACTTTTTCACAGGGGTGAAGCAGAACCTGTACTTATGGAGCAAAGAGGTATGAAGAGAAGTGGGGAAGAGTAAGGAGAGAAGAGAGAAGGGCCCCAGCCAGGAAGACTGGATGAGAGCTGTTTCCCCAGTGTTTGAGACCCAGGGCTTTAGTTCAAGCTTGTCTTCAATCCTAAATGATTAAATGTCCAGCAGAATTCATATGCTAAGGGCCAAGGTGATAGATTTTTCACGACAGCCCAAAGATACAGACCATAGACACATGAGGGCAGAAATGAAATCATGGAACCTCACATTTTTCAGCAAAGTTCTCAAGTGGCCAGAGAGAGATGTTTTATCTTGCAAATGCTCCTCCTAGCTCTCAGCCTGCACCTTCCTATGGAAGCTCCCCCAGTTTCCCTATTCCTACATTATCTTTTTGCTCACCAAAGCCTGTTGGTGCTGATACCACACTTATTCCTCTCCCCCATGGGAGGGAAAACCATGCACTGGTTTTAAGGCAAAAACTGGAAAAGGACCTCATCTTCAGAGCATTTCCCTCTTCTGGGAGTTGGCTGCAGGACTGTGACTGACAGAGGTCTGCCAGAGCTCTGGATTCTGGGTAGAGCTCTGCTCTGAAGCCTCCACCCTCCCATTTGGCAGCACCATGACTGAAGTGAAAGGGACACTTGGAATGGAAAACTTCCATGAGAAAAGACTGGATAGTACATGTACTGCATGTGTTCCCTGGAAACTCCTGAAGATAAGCTAGCCATTGCTCTCTACATCAGAACTGCAGTCATCTTCTGGGGAAACACTAGTGCTTGCTGACCCCTCCCCCATTGCATCTCTCTGGAGTCTTAGCCTTGCAAGAACACGAAGAAGTGGTGGAGTCACAACTGCCAAAAACTCTTGGGACTGATCTCCAGCTGGTGTCCATCAGAGCAATCCCAATTAAGCCCAGCTGCAGACCTGGTCCCTTGACTGCCAATGCAAAAAGAAGCAGCTCGCCCCTGCAGTGCGGGTGTCAAAGTATTGTGTTGTACATCCAGCCTGGTGTCATTCCGCTGAGTAATTTATTGCAATGACGAAGCCAATCATTTTCTATAAATTATTCTGTAAATCATGTTGATTATTTATAATCAGGAAATTAACTGTGAACAACTTAATAACGAGACTGTCTTTTCCAATTGCAACCACTTTTTCTGTCAGTAGAGGTAGTTGGTGGGGAAGATTTTTTTGGCGTCTGTTTCGTTTGTGCCAGACATCCCCAGTATGGTACATTAATTTTTGCTGGTTACTGCCTTCCAATGGAAACAGAGAACTATTTCTTCACTGGAGTTTGTATTAATAAAAAAACCCAGAAATAAATGCAAAAATATTTTCTAACTTTTCCCGGACAGATGGATTTCTTTCTTCTGTGAGGATGAATTTAAAGCCA